AGTAGTCTTTAAAAAAACTTAAAAAATAGAGCCCAAATCATTACGGACGGAAAAAATGACTTTGGATTAATGATTAATTAACTATTTTTCAAAGATTTCACTTGATTTTTTATGTGTTTACCCCAAGGACTTGCTGTAATTTATGTCTCAATTGAAAGATATTGATTAAAATTTATTTTGAGTGTTATATGCAAAAAATAAAAAATTCCGTCCGTAATGCTAATTTTCACATTTTTCAAGTTTAATGCGCTATAAAATCATGAATTCAAAAAATACAGATAAATCTTTTACAAATTCTTATCCCCTGAAGTCTCTTCTTTCAGAAAATGCAACTTTTGATTGATTTTTGTGCATTTGAAAATTTTATGCCCAGGACACAAATACCACGGATTGACCCATCAATAAAAGAGTACTTACTTGGTAGCACAGCTCAAACAATGGACTAAAATGGGCAAAATTCCAGAAGAAATCAGGTCATCTATGGGAGGGTTCCTGTCACTGGACAGCAGTTTTCTGGAAAAAAACACATCAAAAAATGTAGTGATACCAATTTTAGGGCACATTCAAAACAGCAGACTAACACAGATCTGCAGGTGTAATATTCAGTGTCTAATCAGGCATTAAGCAGCAAGCTTTTAAGCGGGTTGCCATATTTGATCTGTGGATATGTTAGTCCCCTGTTCTGAATGTGCTCTAATTCAAAAGTTTAACTTTGAGCGCTGTCATCAATGTTGACAGAATCATGGTATAGCTGAGGTATTTGGAAGGGATTGATGTAAACGAAAATGAGTCTGGGAGTTGGTTCTATAAGACCAAAATTTTTCTTTATCGTCTGACTCAAAATAAATAAGCAGTATTCCACTTAAACTGAAGCAACTTAACTCTGGAGCACTCATGCTGAAAATGAAAACTGAATTGAAGTAGAGCAAGATCAGTCTAAGAATTCAGACCAAAGTTCAGTCACAAGATTTTTGATGAAACTTGCCACTGTAATTCATATATTAAGCCTGTTTTCAACTTGTCTTTAGACTAACGTTCCCACAGAGTTGATTCAGGAAATTTTCCATCATAATTCAAATAGTTAAATATTGAAGCTATTTTCAACTTTTGGTCAAGTTCTTTTTTTTTTTTTTTTTTTTGTTTCATTTAAATATTGAGGCTATTTTGCAACTTCTGGGCAAGTTCTTTTAGGACTGTTTCCAGTCATAATACAAATATTTTCAATGTGTGGTCTTACCTAGCAGCTTGTACAGCACTGAGTTGGACACCGGGCTCTGGGCTGGCAGCATTCTGAACTATGGTTTCTAAGGACTGATTCATCAAAGGTTTGTCATTATCATCAGAGTCAGTACTGTTTTCATGTTGGGGCACGTTCCTTTTCTTTCTTAGATGTTCTTCTCTTTTGTTCTGAAAGACGGGATAAAGAACTGTTTGACATAGCATTCATTAAACTTGTCGGAGTTCTCGCGATTGTTGTGGTTTACTTGGCAATAGAGCCTGGATGATTTTTACACACCAATACACATCTGTCAGCTCATTATAAATAAACCAAGTCCATTCACTAAGTTTTTGGCTTTTCTTGAGGCCTTTCAAATGAGTACAATGAAAACATAAAATGAGTGTGCTAAAGATGAGAAATTGTGTCTCCTGCAGGCCTAGTATGACTCACCTTTCTCAGTTCAACAGTAACTTCTGCTCTCCTCAGTCTCTGTTGCTGTTAAAACAGAAGACAACCAATATATGTTAAGACTTATTATGATTCAACCAGATAATATAAAATTCTGCTACCTGAAATTCTCATCCAAAAACAAATAATAATAACAATACTATAATCTAAAGCTGATAAACCCTGAATTTCAACCTAAGAACACATTTGAAAACTGATAATCACTTAGGTTTAATTCCTGATAAGGAATGAAACCCTGTAAAAAGTTACAATTATTAACCAGGATCTAAAACAGCACAGCATACTGTACTTGTACAGCATACTTGTACAAGTCTCCTTTACTGTCAATTTAAGTACAAAAATCACAAAGGTTTACTTTTCATATCTCCTTGTTATGGGTTAACACTTCCTACTATATATTAATCACTATTTGTGTTGAAAATTTTAAACATTATTAATTTGTTTTTAAATAACATATTTAAAATCTTTGGTCTCTAGTTAAATAAAGAGCACATAAAACCATCTCTTGTAACTTCTTCAGCTAAGAAAATACTATCAATTTCATTAAAACAGAAATATGAAAGCAAAAGAACACTCTAGGCTACAGGCTGCTTAATAACCGAAGAACTGGATGGTTTAGAAAGACAAATAGCCTATGTGTAGTTAATTTGATAAGTATCATGGGCTGAAGAACAAGAATATGTGATAATAAGTTATCCTTAAATTTGGTTTATCACTGAATCACTTTAGGAAACTTGGCTCATTATCTAAGACAAAACTCGTTAACTAGACAAATGACAGAAAACCATGCCAAGCCCTTCCCATGGTTTCAAAGTGAATATTCACACTGAAAATTACACTCTCGCACAAAACCTACCTCCAAATCTTTTCCTTTGTTTTTAAACAATTGCTGCCGAGTGGCTTTCGGGTCCTCTGAGGCCATTTTTCTGTCTTAATTTTTGATTATTTCACAAGTTACTTCTTCTGTATTCCTTACAAAATGCCGGCCTCTTTCTGGATTTTTTTATCCTAACCCATCAGAAACAATCACGGTGATTGGGCTAAATGCTTGAACTTGAATTGAGGTTTCAGTCACATTTTTCCTTTTTCTAATAAATTAGATGATCAAACCTACTTAAATTTGGGTTGTGACTTATCCATCTTTTGTCGATTTAAAATGCAATAAAATTAAATTTAATTTGAACATGTGCAAGGAAATTATCCGATTTATTTCAGAGACCAACGTACAACACTCTAGCCAATCATAGCGCCCATAGCTTAAATTCCTCGAGCAAATTGCAGAGCCCTGCAGAGCCTCACATATCAGATAAGTTTCGAATTTTTACGTCAAATAATTACGAGGCTTTCAAAATATCACACACATCCTCAAATATGAGTATCAGTGTCATAATAGTTACACTTTTATTATTTTAAGATTTCCGACATAAAGGTGTTTTCATCAAAATGAAACATGCAAAACTAAAAAATGGATTTCACAATAACTTCATTCGTAATTTGAAAGCGAAATGGCGGGGTCTGGAATGAATACGGGAGAGTTAGTGATAACGGTATCGCTGCTGGTGCAAGTCGCAGCGGGTGTTTTAGCGGCTCTGCTGCTCGGCAAGAAGCTTTCTAGAGGCGATAAATGTGCTCTTGGATTTTGGGTTTTCAACGCCTTGGTTAATATCACCATGGTAAGTGACGTTCAATTCGGGCGGGAAACCGACGACGGCGATTCCACTGTCACGGTGTCGCTCTTAAAACTTTATGTAGTGCATTACGGAACTGAACAGGATACGTGGTAGATGATAACGTGTTTTAAAAAATTAAAAGAAAGTCTCAAATTAGCTACAAGTACTGTACTTCCTCCCAGAACTATTTCTGAATGGTGTTGGTTGGGGGGGGGGGGGGGCACTAGTAAAATTTTTGTTAAAATCTTCTTGCCTCATTCCAAAATAAGAGTTTAAATACTTCGGCAGGGGTGTGATGTGAGGAAAGGCGTCGATGCTTCTCACATACTGGGAGTTTTGATTGGGAGAGGGGGGAGGGTTCTAAAATACAAAGATACTTGATTGCTTTATAAAGTACTATAATATAATAATGAGTTATAGAATTTATTTTGTACCATTTGCTTACCAATTTTTTTTTTTTATTTTTTTCAAAATTTAGGAACACGAGAAAAAGAAAAACTCCAGAATAGAATTTTAATATTAAGTGTGTTTGCACAAACAAAAGTGAATTAAAATATTTAGTACAGTACTTAAACCTATTTATTTTTCATTGTTTTGCTGTATGTTTGTATTCCAGTGCATTCCATATGCTGTCATGTCTCTGGTGGGAAATGTCAAGGACTATAAGAACTTTGTTGCTCTTATGTGTGAGTATATGTACCAGAAACAACACACGGTTAATTATGAGATACCTCAAACTTCTGAAGTAAATAAGTCTTCAATTTAGCTCCAAAATTCAGTAATGGGATTGTTTTAGTATAAAGAAATCTGTAAATCAAATACTGGCTTCATGCTGATAAAATTAAAGCCTAATCAGTAAATTAGTTAAAAATTTGTAGACACTTTTTCAGTAGTTTTGACTAGTTCTAGGTAGCAAGCACCATATGGCTAAAAGACATACATGTCAGTAAGAGATGAGCACTTCTACCTTTGTGTGACTGGGTACTTATGTAAATTCAGTTCAAGGGTATGCTGGGGTAGCGCTAACACTCGCCAATTTAGCCAAATTCTAAAATTAACTTAAATTGACTAACGAAAAAGGGCTTGATTTGACTTGTTTTAGTCAAATTATAATAATTTTCATAACAAATTGACAAAAAAGGGGTGATTTGGCTGCCGCTCGGCTAAGCAAAAAAAAATTGCTAGGGCAATCCCAGGTATGCCAAGGCTTAGTCACTTTTATAACATAAGACAGGACACCATTCTGTCATTCTGTCCAAAAGTATGCAAAGTGCCCTCCATAGAACTTAAAAACTGCTTTATAATTCAGTCCAAGAGTACGCCAAGGCAGACAAGAGATACGGTGTGGCTGACCCTAACATGATCTGTATTGAGTTGGCGCAGGCAGTGGTGGGTACTTCGCTGTCAATAGCCGTCATTACTGCCATCTTGCAGAACAAAAAATGGAGACATCTGGCGCAGCTGGTACTGCTTGTCGTTGAGTTGTACGGAGGTGAGTGTTTTTAACTGGTTGAAATTAGCTTTCTGTTTATGTGTGCAAGTATGGAAATTAGTATAAAGTAAATTCTTACCAAATTAACACTAGATAAACAGTTCATAACAACAATTCAGACTTGGCTTGGTGATACAATTTCTTTTAGGCAAATAAAAAATGAAAAATTCAAACTACAAAATTAAGGAAAATGGTATTTTAACAGTAGTAGATTTTTTGGTTAAGAAGTAGCCTTTATATTAGCATGTACCATGTGCTTATGATAAAGTTCACCAGGTTTGTACACCTGGTAAACATGGGATTTACTTAATCCTGGGGTTGTGAGAGATAGTCTTTGTACTGTTTACTTTGTTTACTAACTGTTGTGACACACCTTTCTCTGCTGTGAAGTATTTGCTAGGTTTTACTTTGTGAACTCTTCAGCCAGACAACTGATACTTTTTAAAGTATTTAAAAATAATCAGTATTTATCCTAAAGCTTAATAATAATTATGATAATTATTATGAATGATACATGTTCTATATTATAAAGAAAATGGTAAAAGTTACTGAAAACAACATAAAATTATCAAGTCTTAAAATATTATAACATTCATTTTTAAATAAAAATTTCAAGACAATTTAATCCTTAAGTAAAATTTGTGAGTTCTCAAATGGTGAAAGTATTTGCAGATTTAAAGGTTCTTAATTTTGGATCAGAAAATTTGAGCATGCTCTTAAAGTAAACCAACATTGGGCAATAGGTGAAGATCCCCCCCCTCCCAAAAAAAAAAAAAGAAAAAAAAGTTCAGTAGTTACACACCAAAGTCTTCCATATTTATTAAGAAGTCCATCTCTGAAGATTGAGATTCTTATTCTGAGTTGAGAATCAGTAGCAGCCCTGTATAGAGCCCACTGTAATACTGTGTTTATTTACTTATATACTTAAAACCCACCCATACTTGCATTTACATTGGTTTAAGCTTACACAATGTTTGCTGCAGAGTTAAGTTTTAAGAGAAATGGACTTACCCAGGATTTTCCAGTCTCACTGGGGTTGGAGGGGTATTTTACAAAAGAACATTTGGTTGATAGTTGGCCCAAACTTTTTGACCATTAGTTTTGTTTAGTTTGATCAAAGAGTTCTTGAGGTCTAGTCCAGCTATATGAAAAATTGCACCTGAGAAATTTTTTATAACAAGAAAGATATTACTGCTTTTTTAATCAACATGTTTTACTGTAGTAGACCACTACAGATGTACACAACAAATCTGGTCTCAAGTCTGGTTTTCAGTCTAAAGTTCTTTCTGGAACGGGGCTCAGGTGAATTATTTGCATTAGTCATAAGGGAAGGGGGTTTATGCTGTGAAGGTAGTTCAGTGGATAAGGGACATGCTGTGCTCAGTTATGATTCTCTTCCTACTCATTCTACATTTATGGTAAATAAACAAAGAATTATCAAACATTTGTTTATTTTCAGTGTACATGATGTTTGCCCCCGAGCTAATCTCTGGACTGAAGAATTTCAACCCCGCCAAGCTGGTCCAGCTGTTTGTGATGAATGGGGTGTTCTTGGTCATCAGGCTCGCCCTCCTCGCCCAGTCACTGCAGGTCCTGTGTGGGGGTAAGAAACAGGCGCCCTCTTCAGGGGCCAGCACCCCGCGCAGCACGGGAGGAAGGTACAATCTACGAGCCAAGAAGGAATAAGAAAAATGGACATCGAAAGAGATATAGAGATTCTAGGAAATATCTTTTAAGGAAAAAAATAACAATCATGTATCTGAGCTCATTTTGGTACATTTTAGCCTCAAGGTTAAAATATTTTGAATTTCTCCATTCTGAGCATATTTGGCTTTTGGAAAATGTTAAGCATTTCAGTTTTTAAACAAACTTATCATCAATACTGTTTAAAATTTTGATTTTATTGCGCAGTTATTTGGCTTTGTGGAACTTCATCAAGAGTAAGTCCAGCAGTGTGTCTCAGCTAGCAAGTCTTGTGTTTTAAGATTTGGTTTATGATATGACAGTTAATTTTCTTATTTAATTGTTTGGGTCATACATATGTTTGGTTTATAATGTTTGACTTTATTTCTACATGATTGTAGAGAAAGATTAGGTGACAGTCAGCAACTTTAAACTTTTTGTTTTAGTACTGAATGGTAATTGTTGAACAGTTTCTTGAATTTCCTCAAAAAAAAATCAATAAACCAAGGTGTGTTTTTATTCATTTATTTATTGAAACTATTTTTCATTGTATTTCTCTCTTAAGCAGATTTGTACTTTTTTCTGCCATTTTTGGTTAATAGTGTGGATATATGTAACTTAAGTATATTTGAGATCCATGGTTATGTGAGGAAATTGTTAATCCCTGTTTTAGGTGACACTATCACCAGGATTTTTTCATTGCATGTTTTTTTCTGGCAGGAAAAGTATTATGCACATGTATACAGTGCATAAAATGATTTTCTTTAAAAATGATTCATGTTTGACAATTATTCCATTTCAAATGTCTAACAAATTTAAAGACAAATTATTGATGGTTCAAAATTTTATACTGTAACTTTATATTAAATAATTGTAGGGTAAAAAAAGCAATTATTTTCTCATTCATAATGTTAAATAGTTTTATCTTATATGGCGTGTGTAGATAATAGGATTGGATTTATCAGGTAGTACTTACAGCATTCCAGAATTACACTTGATGTTGATAGTTTAGAATTAATTTTCCTAACATATCTTAAAGAAAAGGTCACGTTTTGCCAAATTTTATAATGTTGCTGTGTTACTTTGAAAGGCAGCTTGAAGTGATTGAGATCAGTGAATCCTCAGGGTATGTATCATATAACATGCTTCTCTTTTAAGTCCTGTCTTCAGATGTAACACTGAAAAGTGTATTTTACTTGTATTATATTAATTCTCGAGCCAAATTTTATTTTTAAATTGTGGCTTCTTTATATGTTTGTAGTCTATTGGGTGTTTTGTTTTATTATCATTTGTGTTGAATTTTTTCTTGTATCAGATTTTTAGAATATTCCCTATTGCTGCTTTTGCTAGGTTTTTCTATACATTTAGAATAATGTTTTGATTTTTGATAGATTTTAAATTTCACTTTCTTTAAAGTTAATAATCACCATTTCTCTATTTATGTAATTAAATGAAACTTTATATATTGTGTGAATCTTTGATGTGGAACAAAAATATAGGCACTATTTTTAGAGGAAAATATGTTGTGGTTATTGGCTTCCTAAAAATTGTCAAGTCAGTTCATCATTGTTTTAATAAGTAATTTTTTTTTATCACAACGAGCCCAGACTGTGCAGTTCTAGACCAAAGTCGAGGTTCCTCCAGCATACTTGTAGCTGGCAGTGTTAGCTTCCACATTTTCACCATAATTACTTTGAATAACACCATTTGGACAGTGACTGGAACTAAACAAATGATAAAGGATAGTCATTAGAAAAACAAAACAAAGACACTTGTTTTACATTTACAAGCAATAGTCTTTATTACTGTTCAATGTTAACATCAGGCTTTTGCAACATTTTATAAGAAATTCATGATACTCACTTGATTAAAGCAAAATAACATTATCAAGTTATACAATTAATAAAAGTGACATCTTATACTTTAAAAATTTTGTATCCTATTAGATTCAAAAATTTCTATCAAAATAATGAGGCACTTGAAATATTAAATTGTTTTCTGTGAATATCCTACAAAATTCGCTTCATACACTAAAGGGATAATAACTGTTCTTATGATATCTATATTTCACAACAAAAACATTGTGAACAACTCCTAGGAATATAATATATTCTGTTTTACCACAAAAACGGTAGTTATAGCTATTATTCTGATATCTGAGCTTGTCTTCAGATCACGTGACCTCCATTGATGGCTGTACTCAGTTATAATCTCTTAAGTGATTTTAACAAAAAACCAAACTTTTTAGAAAAAAACCAGGGACTAACTTTGAATGTAAAAATGGATTCATTAACCATATGGGAAAGTTGTTGTTTACTTCAGGAAAATTCATATTTTGGCCAAAACGAAGAGTTATTATCCCTTTAACATCATGCAACTTATTTCATTCATTTTTCAGTGACACTTTACACAACAATACGACACTCTTGCACAGGGATTGACAACTTTTTCGAAAGAGCCAGATTGGTTCGGTACATATTACAAGGGTAAATTGACACATTAAATTTTACTGGCTCTTCAGGCCATTATTTCCTGTGTTTGGCCTGTCCAAGATCGTTTTTCATTGGCGTAGGGCCAGCAGGTCAATTTAAATGTCGAGCCCTAACGTAACATTACCACATTTAGAATTATTTGAGAAATTGTAGATGTGATCTTAAAAGAGTACACTTCATACAGGCACTTTTCTGATATAAAAGATACTGGAAATATAAAACTTACGACTTTTACTTAATATGTTTTGAACTTGCTTTGCTTTTATGTTACATGGTCTAAAATTATAACATTTTATAGTAATGCTTCATCTAGCAGTATCCAAAACATCCTCTTCAGAAGTTTTAGTTAGGCATGCACTGTGTACAGAAAATGCACATGCATGACAGTAAACATTAGTTAACTCATGTAAACAGTATTAGAATTATAAAATTCATGACTTAAATATTTGATTTTTACTTGTTACATCTTTCCAGCATGATATAAAGCAAAATTCTGTATTGCTACAACCAGTATTTGAAATATTTTCTTTGAAAGTGTTTAGAAATGTACATTGTACAATAATATATATATACAAAGTTTTAAAAATGTTAGACCCCATTTCCATAGATTTTAGATCGATCTATCCCTGAGAGGAGTCTCACTAGATTACTGTCAGCTTAGCCGGCTTAAGCGTCTGTCTCGCCTACTGAAAGCTGTAAGGGGGTAATTAACTATGCTGAGCGCTCGGCTGACTGCATTTTAGCGTGAACCCCCAGGGAGTTAGGTCAATCTAAATCTTAATCTCTGTGTCGATCTAAATCTCTGGTAATACACCCTTAGTGTATGGGTATAAATGATTTTAGAAACCAAACACTCATGACTTGAAATCACAATATGCATGCACAAGTACATGGTAATTACCTGATCTTTTCACTATGAGTTTTACAGATATTGTGTTTTTACGTCATACTTTATTAGTTAGAACAAGTTAATTGTGTGGTGGCAACAAAATTTTAAAAAAAGGCTACTCTGTAGTTCTAGCCCATGCAGTAAAAGTGCCACAAATGCTATATACAAATAAATTTAATAATTATAAAATTGTCTGAAAGCTTGATAGTTTTTGCCCACTGAAAAAACTTGAGAACGGCCGTTATTGTGGTAGATCTGCATGCACAAGTTTTTTCTCTTTTATGCTATTTTCATAGACATTTTAGACCATTCCATGATATGCAGTCTCTTTTTGGTCAGTAAAACTTCAAATCATATTATAGTTAAACCTCAATGTACCTCACATAAACTTATTAAGTAATAATTACAACAGTATTTTACAGTCACACTAATCTTAAAGATTGATGAGGAAATAAACATGGAATAACAAGACATCACATCATAATGCTTTAAAAAAATACTTACAATCATATTTCAATACTCAATATCATATGATGCTTTGAAAAGTAAAAAGTATAAAAATACAACCTAAATGAACTGATTACTGTACATAAAGATTTTGAAATGTATATGTAATGATTAGAAAGTCATCAAAGCACTTCATAAATATTAGAAAATGTTATTTTTTAAAACCAAAAATCTTTCCAGCTTTGCAGGACCTCAGTGAGTCTATTTACAGGATAATTAACTTGCTGCAAACCCACCTGTTGATGACAGTGTTTATTTTAATCTTATCAAAATAATGGATTGCTTCAGCAAACTGCCCTGGATTTATCACAGGGCTACCAAACATTTAACATGCAACAACTGCAGAGTGGTAACAAATACCAAATAACTTTTCTGGTACAAAAAAAAAATAAAATTGATAATATAAGTACTCCCAGTATTGATGGAGTATCGGTGTGGGGTAGTATCGATGCGCATGTAATACAAAAAATTACTAAGGGCGATTATCGGTGTGAGGGAGTAACTGTGCAGGGGGGTATCAATATGCATGCACAAGTACATGGTAATTACCTGATCTTTTCACTGGGGGGAAACTGAGTTTTACAGATATTGTGTCTTTACGTCATACTTTATTTAATTAGAACAAGTTAATTGTGTGGTGGCAACAAAATTTTAAAAAAAGGCTACTCTGTAGTTCTAGCCCATGCAGTAAAAGTGCCACAAATGCTATATACAATTACAAATAAATTTTTTGTGATTATAAAATTGTCTGAAAGCTTGATAGTTTTTGCCCACTGAAAAAACTTGAGAATGGCCGTAATTATGGTAGATCTGTATGCACAAGTTTTTTTCTCTTTTATGCTATTTACATAGACATTTCAGACCATTCCATGGTATGCAGTCTCTTTTTTGGTCAGTAAAACTTCAAATCATATTATAGTTAAACCTCAATGTACCTCACATAAACTTATTAGTAATAATTACAACAGTATTTTACAGTCACACTAATCTTAAAGATTGATGAGGAAATAAACATGGAATGGCCCTTTATTATCACAATAACAAGACATCACATCATAATGCTTTGAAAAAATACTTACAATCATATTTCAAATACTCAATATCATATGATGCTTTGAAAAGTATTAATAAAAATGCAACCTAACTGAACTGATTAATGTACATAAAGCTTTAGAAATGTATATGTAAGGATTAGAAAGTCATCAAAGCACTTTGTAAATGTTAGAAAATGTTGTTGTTTTTTAAACCAAAAATCTTTCCAGCTTTGCAGAACCTCAGTGAGTCTATTTACAGGATAATTAACTTGATGCAAACCCACCTGTTGATGACAGTGTTTATTTTAATTATATCAAAATAGTGGATTGCTTCAGCAAACTGCCCTGGATTTATCACAGGGCTACCAAACATTTAACATGCAAGAACTGCAGAGTGGTAACAAATACCAAATAACTTTTCTGGTACAAAAAAAAAATAATGATACTATAAGTACTCCCAGTATTGATGGAGTATCGGTGTGGGGTAGTAACTGTGCAGGGGAGTATCGACATGACCCCGCGTATAATTACAACACCAATTTTGTTGTATGAGTCATCAGTGGTGGTGTACGTGTTTGGTACCAAACTGCTCTTCATGCATTACAAGCATTTTCTTGCAACAGGTCAATATAATACTTTTTCAAATCATAGAGAACTTCAAATAACGGGATGTGTGCTACCCTTGCACTGATATTTCTGTTTGGGAAGACATTGCTTTGCTCAGTTGGGAGCACTCTTCTGATAGATCTTGAGCTTCCCTAAAGAGTTGCAATTCTTTAAATACACTGGCAATGGAATAAACATTTTGTATGATAGCAGTATAGGTAGACCTATATGTGTCCATGGCAGTAGTGCTTGTTGTAGTGCTTGATGGATTTTGTTCCAATTGATAATTGCTTAGCTGTTTAAGCAAAAGCCTTGCAGCTAACAGCAGTTTGGGGATTGCTCTTGATTCTTCTACAATCTGTGACAGTTTAAGCCCAGTCATTGCTGCCAGTACAGTTGCCATCTCACCATAGAATTTGCAATATGCAGTTTCTATCTTCAGCTTTTTATCAGGATCGAAATTTGCTTTGTACTCTGAAAATGCTTTTAACACAGGATGTAGATCATATACCTGGCCACTTACTCTATTTACAACAGACTTGGATGTGAGGCTATCAAGGATTTCTTTACATTTATCCTCATTTATTTCAAAAATTTCTGAAACCTCACTAATATGAAATGACACAGGAAATATGTACAGACCAAAGAATAGATATTTATCTCTATCAGCCAATGTTTGTAAAGATTTTTCAAAATATGGCACCAGTCCTTCAAATAAATGATCATGTGCTACCTCTGAAACACCTATTTCCTTCATTTCCTCTAGTACTTGCAAACTTCCTTTATTTTCAATTTGAGATGCTAGTAATTTCAAGGCAAGAGGACTGTGTCCACATCTAGCAGCTATTTCTTTCAATACCCCTGCTTCCCTCTCAGGTGTTAGTTGGAAAAGGAGCTGAGTTGATGAACTATCATCAAGAGGTGGGATATGTCTTTCAACCACTTTCACTGACATGAGGTCAAATGATTCACGGCTGGTACAGACTAAAGCTAAGTGCTTTGATGCTTTCAACATATCCTGAACTAATTTCAAGAACTCTTTCCGTTTCTCATCACTTAGTAAGTGATCAATGTTGTCAAAGATAACTACTGTTGCTGATTTAATATCAGAAAGAGTCTTTTGAAATAAGTTATGAAGGTCGGCATTAGGATTGGTGATTTCTTCCAGATTATAGTGCTGCACTAGTAATAACCGAAACAAATCAAGCTTTCCAACCTGCCTCATATCCAAAAACAAAACATCTCTACCTTCTTCACTCATGCGATGCCCCATCTCTACAGCAATGCTGGTCTTGCCAATACCACCCATTCCTGTTAGGAGCAAAACTTCTGTCTTGTTGTTCATGTCTTGTTGAATCTCTCTTAGCTCAACTTCGCGTCCACAAAAATTGTTGTCTTTTGTTGGAAGGTTCAGAGACATGAGGTGGCGAGCAAAAGATCCAGGTGGGTCTTCATGTACCAGTTCTCCTGAAGCAATGAGTAAAACTAGCATTACATGTGAATCAAATGAATAATTTGAATATATATAAATCGGATCACAGGTGCATACACTGTTATATAACTCTTACTGCCAAAAAAAATGTCACAGTGTCCATGGGGATGGCCATCGCATATCCCCCCACCTGTCAATATTGTACAGATTTACCCTCAGGGACCCAATCTTTCTATAGCAATGCCTGAGTCCAATATGTATAATTAATAATAACAATCTTCATAATGAAATACTATATTGCAACATGGCTCTAAACAATTGGGACCATAACAATAGCCCAAACGGATCTGGGTGAAACGTGATTCAAGAATTCTTGGTGATTGGTGATTGGCCTGAATATATCTTGGTGATTGGGCTGTTTTAATCTTGGTGACTGGTGATCAAGGGCTGGTATTCACTACCCTCAATATAACCTTGGTATTATTAAATCTTCATACTAATTAACCTTCAATTTGAGGACTATTAATGCCTACCAAGCCTGTTTTTTCCCATCAGATTTAATTAATTATGGGGTAAATGGCATCCCCCCCATTCCATTCCCAACTAACCAGCCTTAAATCTTCATTTTCTGACTCTCACAAACTCTCTTTATAACAATTAAGGGTAAAAGCAAATGATTGAAAAATGCGCCTAAGCAAGGCTTTTCAAAAAAAAAAAATTTTTTTTTGACTTGACTTCTGGATATCTCAAGACTTTTATGGCGTGATCCACATTATTTTCAAACTGTGTTAAGATGGCGGACTACTGAGGTTGAAGATCCCATATAGTTATTATTTATTTTTAATTGTGATTTTGCTTGAGGACCTTGTAACCATTTATAATCATTCAGATGCCAAAAATGCTTGCGGTTTTTCCTGCATCTAATAATTCAAATAAATGCATTTCCCATTGTGCTAATTTAAAACAATAAAAAACATCGAAAATATAAGATATTGTAATTATATTTCTCCTTGCAATATATAAGCATGGACAACTCAAAGCTTTAATCGTTTATTTAACACCTTTCCAATTTGAGGTGAGATAGCAATCTGTATGGGCCGTATGGGCCGTAACTGCATCCCTGAACAAAAATTGGCAGAGTTGGCCATGAGTATATGGGCCACAATTATGGAGTTATGAGCCCCTAATTTCAGATTTTCATTAAACACTGGCATTATTTTGATAAAATCTTAATTAAGACTTCTAAGAAAAATTGCTGGCAGAATTCTGGAGTGCTAAATGCATGGTGTCCTTAAGTCAGCGTTGAAACTGTTATTATATGTGCTCAGATAAAGGAGTAATTTGAAAAACCGATTTTTCACTTTTTGCCCAAAAATTGCAATTATGACATCACCCATAAAATGACATATATGTGAATGGCAATTAATTTACTTACTGAACACTGAAGATTTTTCTATTATCCTAAAAATTATCTTAAGTTATGGCTTAATAAGGAGTTTTGGTCCAAGGGTGACAATATTCATGAAGGCCACTTATATTTGCAATTTACGTTTTAAAAGTTGTAATTGTCTCCCAGGATATAGTTCACCAAGAAGTGATTCATGCACTTAAATGCATTCAAAATACAGGCTTTTAAACACGAAGCACGCCATTAAAGATCTATGTAAATATTTAAAGATTGTATACCTGAGGATAGTATTGGATTGATGAGTATTTTGTCATAATCCTGGGCTGTATAGATCTTTGACAGACGTAGAAGCACTGCCTTCAGACCTTCAAATTCATTTTTAAATGTTGCTGCTGGAAGCCTGTCAATACTGTGCGCATGGATGTTACGGTATCTCTTCACTCGACCAATGTCAGCTTCGGTGGACAGGTCAGTGCTGGAAGGGTTGTTCCATTTGGCGTTTGGATTCAGTGTGGTTATATTGCGTAAGAGCAGGACAGCTAAGGTGGCATCAAGATCATTTACTTTTGCAGTTGAGGAAGAAGCCCCAGCTGGATACAAAATCTGCTTTTGGCTTGCATTCAGAACATTTCTTCTACTTAAGTTTTTTCTTACAGCTGGAATGTTCAGAACATTATACAATATGCCTATGGATGGGTCAAAGTCCCCTGGATATGCTTTCTGTAATTCTCTTGTCAATACATCCCTAAAAACCTCTGGAGCATGTTCCAAAAACGAAGTCATGCGAATGTAATTTTTTACTTCCTCATCTATTTCAGGTGTGAGTAAAAACATTGCTGATGCCATTGTTTTACCACTGAAAAAGACACATAAAGGAAAAATCAATTAACTCATAAAAATGTTCATTTTATGTAATTGCTCGGCTGAAAATCTTAAACATGAAAAAAAAAACGTGTTGGCCTCTATACAAAGGTGGACTATGTCACATAATCTAGTTTTTGTTTTGCCATTTTTCGGGTGATTACTGCTTTAAATCTGAGTGAGCTTACAAGTATATGTATAGACCACTTAGGAAATACTTAAAATCCAACATCAGTTTGGATCCTAGGCTAAGAAATTAATTTGAATTGCAGATATTGCTATGGTTTGGGTTTTTAAATCAAGCTGCAATTGGATTCTATTGTGAATGGAACACAAAAGATAAATTTTGATCTTGAATAAAGTGTATGTGACAGGATTTTATTTGGGCAAATCCAGATTTATTTGAAGGGGGGTCCGGGGATTTTTTTTCTCTAACTGAAATGTCACTCCATGTCTAGCCAGTGTGTAACCTAATTACCACACAACTCTCTAAACAATTGTATGCAGTTGCATGCTCTGCGGTCAGAAATGTGGGGGTGGTCTTTTCGGCAATTAATGCCCTTGTATAAAAACGCATGGGTTTGGTCAGTCTTTCGAGAAGCAACATGGGGATCGCTCTGAAACTTGACAGGTACCTTAGAGAAGATATGGTTCGACAGCTAAGCACGCAGCTTACTATGGGATTCTTGTTCTCAGAGAATACGGCCAGAAACGGACAGCCATTGCCAGGCAATTCAACATTTATCAGGAACCGTAAAGAACTGCTACAACAGTAAAGTCCTCCAAAGAAATGCTACACTTACTCCAATACCTTAACCAGGGTGTCGGCGTATCACACCAAGAAGACAGGATCGCCTTCTACTTAAGAGTGCGCCGAACTCGTCGCACAAAGGTAACCAGTATCTTCAGAAAAGAGTGGCAGAATGTCACTCAAACGCCCATATCAAGGTCTTCAAGGATGGTTCAAGGAAGAAGAGATACATGTAACTGCAAGCCGGTTATTTTGCACGGATACCAGTAGGAAAACCACTGTTAACATCAGGTCATAAACAGCGACGTCTCCAATGGGCTGGGAACCACTTGCGTTTGCAGCCAATGCACTGGAATCACCACGTTTTCAGTGATTGGACCAGATATAGAGTTTTTAGGGCTGCCGATCGAATTCGTGTCCGCCGACGTGTACGGGAGGCATACAACAATGATTGTGTACTGCCTAGGGTGCAAGCAAGGGGCAGTAACGTCTCTGTTTGAGGAGCATTTCATGCTGGTGCCCAGAACCAGTTGGTTTTTCTAGAAGGCAACCTCAACCAGGATTGCTTCAGAGGCATTCTACAGCAAACAGTGCTTCACTTTTTAAGAGTCATCTCCAGGAACAATTTGTGTACTAATACGACCCCCCCCCCCCCCCCCACGGGGCCGTAGCAAAAGTCCGAAGGTTCAATAGTCCGAAGGTTCATTGGTCTGAATGTTCACTACAGAACCTTCGGACCAATGAACCCTTGATTAAAAAACCGATGAAAATGTTACCGTTTTTCGGACCAATGAACCTTCAGACTATCGAGACGCCCCCCACCCCCACAACGAGCTCGTAGAATCACTGTTTTTTCTTCAAAACTAATGGGTTCAGTAGCTGCCCTGGCCTGAAAACCCCCCAGATATGAGCCCACTTGAAAATATGTGGGCGAAATTAACTCAGAGAATTAATGGCTATGGTCATTGGCCGGTAAATAGTGATGAACTGCGACAGGCAAATATCACTGCATAAAATGATATCCCCATCCAAACTCTGAAAACTTGTCACAGGATATGTCATGTAGGATGAGGGCGCTGCAAGCGGCTGCTGGAGGTCATACCTGCTATTGATTACTTTTCACATGATTTACTGTTATGAGTTCTTTGACTGTGTAACATAATATGATTATCATTGTCCAGAGGCTATCATTTTCTTTAATATCGTAGCTTAAAGTTAATGCTTGTTGATAGGGTTTTCTGGGGGTGTTCTTTTCTTTTTGAATGACATCTTATGTCAGATTTGATATTATTGACCAAAACATCTTACAATAGAAGACCGGTGTCACGTGTACGGTCCGTTCTGCGCGAACCATCCGTCCTGACCGACTGTACACGCAGCAGACGCGTGTATGAGCCGTTCCGTGAATGATCCGTTGTTATTCACCTGTACTGTTATATTCGGCTAGTTCATTTCCTACCTCATTATATATTTACTATGATTGGGATAAAATTCATGTGTTATTTGATAATTTTGATAGAGAACAGCGTCAAATTACAGTTCGACGCATGGATGGACCTACCGTGGACGAGCCGTCGTTATTAAGCTGCTGACTACTATTTTAGTATTGATTTTACAAGGCTAGTGTGTTGATATGGCCACCTGAGGGAAATCACAGTAGAGGTGAACATCTATAAGATATGAAAACTTCTAAAGATTATGTTTGAATTTGCAGTACATGTATGTTCTCAACAGCGCATGTTTATTAAAGGCTAAGTATGTATTGATGACTCTATAGAGACGGACTGTACACGCCGGAAGTCTCTTAGATTTGCCTGCGCTTTGTGTGCACGAGCAGAACGGATGATTCACGCTCCGAGCGGTACGCGCCACACACACCGGATATTTTTGTCACTCAATGACGTACTATTTTGATGAATAAAGCCAAGAAAATTTTAATCAGCACTCAAAAACAGTGACAAAAATATTCCATATTAAATATTTACCCTGTAAGATTTAGGAAAGTCAGGAATTTAGAGGACATATGTTGAGGCAGAGAAAATCCTCAAATGTGTAAATTGCATAGAGCAATAATCGTACAGAATAAGGGGTACCGGAGGAGATCAGCATTAGTCAAAATTGTACCGGAAGTGTGACGTCAAGTGGTGTAAGACGCGAAACTGAGTGGTCATTTTTAGCTGGAGGTGAACTTGAGAGAAGACAAACAACATGGTAAGATAACATTTCTTCTTTACGCATTTTGGGCAGAGAATATTTATAGAAATAATAGGCATATGATATGAAAACGTGTCACGGAACCTGAAGGTGCAAAATCGTGCCTAATTTGCAGTCGACTTGTTTTGAAATATATGCTCCACCGACCACCAGCGCGACAAAGACTGTCAAGGGAAAAGAATTCTCGGTAAGCTATAAATCGTTGTCATGTGGAATTTTGGCATTTATATAATCTGATATGTCCATATCTAAGTATTTTTGGTGTTTTATGGTATGTGCTGCAATTATAACGATGTTTTAGGGTCTTTGAAGGACCTTGTGAAAACCAGGAAGTAGTTCGTAACTGACAACTGAGTCGTACCGATCCACAACTACAGTACTGTGCAAAGATATATCTAATTTTAAATATTTTGACGAATTTTTATATCTTTTTATGTCCATCTGACATGAAATTCCACACATATGATCACATTAATACACCTTTTACACCGGGATAGCCACTAATCAGTGACAAATGCCAAGATAAAGGTGACATTTTGACAGCCTCTTATCTGAGCTAAAAATCAAGTTCCGTGCTCAAGTTCATGTGCCTATTATTTCTACGAGTATTCTCTGCCCAAAATACATAAGATATATAACGCTATCTTACTGTGTTGTTAGAATAACTGCTTTTTTCTCCAAGCTCACGTCTTCATTCACCTCCAGCTAAAAATGACCACTCAGCTTTACGTCTTACACCACTACACGTCACTTCCGGCACAATTCTGACTAATGCTGATCTTCCCCGAGTACCCCTTATTATGTAGATACAGGTTCCTTAAAAGGTCATAGTGGGACTCCAAACATATCAGGTACTCTACAGTGCTACTAATTCGTGATTATCATATGCTTAAAGAAATAGGTAGCTTGCCAATCATTCTCCAGTACATATTTATATTTTTTGTTGTAAGGAGATTATTTATTTTTCTGGATTGAAGTTAATGCATTAACCTTATTTTAGCTGGGCTAGATAAGCAGTGAATCTGGATTAAATATTTATCTTGTGGATGTGGATGTACAAATGAACCTCGAAGTGAATAAGAAATTAAAATTCACAAAGTAGTGTAGTAGTCTTCTTCTGTAAAAATTGTGAAGGCAACATGTACGGTATAGAAACAGCAATTCTATAGGTAAAATCATTTAGCAAAGTCTATTGATCAAATTGTGCGTTTCAAATATAATTTCAAAGCAGACCATGTATAAGGGGTGTCGATGCAAGGGTTAACATTTTCAAGAAATTTTTTGTTTGTTTGTTTGTTTCTTTTATATGAAATAATTAATTTTTAATGTAAGAAATAAAAGTGTTTGTTTATTTCCATAATATTAAAATTAATTTTAACATAAAAGTTTTATTGCATTTTAGTGAATTGTGCACGTCATTGTATGCTTTGTTGCTGGTTGGAAATGTAAATATAGGCCAGAAATACAGCACAAATCGTACGTCAGAACTAATTCTGCCAAAACCCTTTTTTGCCAGACTGTCTGCATGTGTTCCAATAGCATGTGCAAATATTCAGACATATGTAAATTAATATAAATGAAAAAAAAATTACCATATCATATACAAACAGAGAGACAAATGGACAATGTTTTTGTAAATTACTTACCCAGATTCAAGATGTTCTTGGGTGTCTTTGTCTCTGACATCTGACCCTTCATGCGATTCACCATGATCCTCACCTCCCTCTGCCTAGAATACACAGTACATGAACGCAGTGCAAAAGAACTATAAACAAGGCAGCAAAGCTGTCAAATGTACAGACAATAAGCAGAAAGTAACAATTCACAAAATAGGGTACTGTCAATTCTGGTGCAAAAGTACATTGTGCTTAACTGCAAATTCAACGTCAAATTTTAATTATGCTCAACAGGTAATACCGATGTAAGTAAAATGTGTAACAAGCGTAAGGCTTCAGGCCCATGGGAGTTCAAATTCACACTTTGAAAATGGCATTATGAGAAAAATGAAAATGTCATACAAAATTGCATAAATTCAATAATAAATGATAACCCAATTGAGCTGGCTTTCTAATTTGAACTGCATGCCAATCCTAAAAATCATACTTGTAAGTTAAAAATAATAAAAAAAATTTTCATAATGTTTGTAGTAGCAGTGCAAAAATTTTTTTGTCAATTTTGATGTAACATTACATAATAAATAACAGAATAATTATCACCAATTTTTGATCATTGACTATTAATAGATGGACATGTAGAAAATTTGATTACCATTCGGCTTCATGTCCATGGGAGCTCTAAGTCCCACTATGAATATGCCAAAACGATAATAATGAATATTTCACTTAAATGTATAACTTCCAGAAAAAGAAGCCAATTAGACTGCTTTTCCAACTCGGGCTGCATTTTAGTCGTGGGTTTCTCTTTTAAAAGTTTGACAGTAAGTAACATGGTTTTCCCATAATGGTCATCATGGCAGCAGCACCGAAAATTGCGTTTTCTTCTATTTTGATGCAACATTACATAATGCTTAACAGCATAATGACCATCAATTTTTTACAATAAAATAAACGTATCATGGATTTTCAGAAAATGTGACTAGCATGGGTCTTCAAGCCCGTGGAGGTTCTAAGTCACACCTTGAAAATGCCAATATGTGAAAAATTAAATTTTTACAAAAAAAATTACCAAATAGACTGCATTGCCAACTGAAGCTGTATTTTAGTCCCATGTTTCTTTCCTGAAAGTTTGAGAACAGTAAGTGACATGGTTTTCCTTAAATGGTCATCATGGGAGCAGTGCCCAAAATAGGGGTTTCTTCAAATTTTGATGCAATATTACATAATGTTCAACAGCATAATGACCATCAATTTTTAATAATAAAATATTAGTATCATGGATATTCAGAAAATGTGACTAGCAAAGGTCTTCAGGCCCATGGAACTTCAAAGTCACAACTTGAAAATGCCAAAATGTAAACAAGACAGCAATGTTCTGAAATGTTTTTTTTCCAGTTTTTTTTTTTTTTT